AGAGAGAGAGAGAGAGAGAGAGAGAGAGAGAGAGAGAGAGAGAGAGAGAGAGAGAGAGAAGATACATGCGAAGTTGCAAACACGTACCACGAGAAAGCGATACGGACAGTGCAAGTCGTCTCTGCCAAATGTATACATACATTATTTCCTGGTCACATGCATACATACATAATCGCAGTTGCTGGAGCATCAATCAAGCCAACAGACACTGCCCATCACAATGGCCAGTAGCAATAAATGAAATAAATAAATAAATAAATAAACAAAAAAATGGCGAAGCGTTGAAGATCCTCCATGTCCTTTCTGGCTGCCGAATAGACACGCGTGTCTAGCTAGCTATGGAGTAGTAGAGACAAACAATCACTTGACATCAACTGGATCTCATCGGCGTTGATTCTGCTACATAGCCATGACTCAATCACTGACTGACACTGGAGTGTGTGTGTGGGGACCACTCACTCATGACATAATCATGTAGACTACTACTAAACATGATCCACCTTCCATCTCGGGGAGTCCATCGTCTATCTCCATCTTCTATCTTCATCGTCTATCGTCGTTGTCCATCTTCATCATCCATCTTCACTGTCTATCTTCCCACGAAAATAGACTTGTTCACAGTCTATCCTCCCCCAAAAATGAAGTCTAAAAATGGACTATTTTCGAGAGGGTGACCGTTGAGAAAAGGCAACCACCTCCCTTCTCCCTTCATGTGTACTCAATGGACCGATGTGGTCTGCTGGAAAGAGACCTCAAACACCCTGCAGATGCGACGTCTGCGGCAACCACCTCCCTCCTCCCTTCAAGAGTTGTTTCTCCCAACAAGAGTGTGAGTGACTGAGTGTTTTCAAAGGTCGAGGACCAAGAAAGGCAGGCATACTCGATAGTGCGATGTGGTCCGCTGGAAAAGAGAAAGTAATCTTTTCTTTCTTACTCCTCGTACTGTGCAGATGCGAAGTCCGCAGCCACCACATCCCTCCAAGAATTGTTTCTCCCATTTCTCCCATTTCTCACAAGGTAGGAGGGACACTGCTCAAGCGACCTAGGTCGCACGCTTGTCCCTTAAGAAACAGACTTCATTCAGCAAGTCCGGCTTCGAGATAAAACCACCCACCCATCCACCCATACATAACCGAATCCAACGCTTCGTGTGCATCCACAAATGGTGGATGATTAGATCGCCCGCATGTGATCGAGTTCAACCCAACTCCCTCCAGAACCTTGCACAATCAATCGCGTTTGACATCGAGATTGTAAAGCTGCAGTCGCTGCACATACAGAATATTCCACTCACCACCACCCACCCACCCACCCTCCCTCCCTCCCAAACATAATCGAATCCGACGCTTGGTGTGCATCCACAAAGGGTGGATAGTTAGATTGCAAGCATGCGATTAAAGTCCAACCCAAGCCCCTCCAGAACCTTCACAATAGAGCAATCGCGCTCATCGTTGAGAGTGTTAAGCTGCAGTCGCTGCAGATACAGAATGCTTCCTTCACCAGAATTCACCCGTGCATCATCCAAGAGGTCGGCGGTCAGATCGCAGGCATACGATCACGTCGACAGAACCCAACTGCTTCGAGAGCCTTCACAATCAATCAATCGCCCTTCAAACATCGACAGTAGCGTAAAGCTGCAGTCGCTGCAGTTGCTGCAGTTATACGGAACTTCACTCACCAAAATTCAACCCTGCGGCACGCACTGCAAGCCTAGATCCAACCAACTGCCTCCAGAAGCTTCGCAATCAAATGACCTTTGACATCGACAGCAGTCACTGAGAAGTGTAAAGCTGCAGTCGCTGCACGTACATAGTACCACTTCGCTTCGGAGAATCGCTCGCTGCACATACAGACCACTTCGCTCTGCAGAATCAGTCGCTGCACACACAGATCACTTCAATCCGGTGAATCAACCACTGCATAGATTTCATCCGAATTCAACCTGGCGGCACGCACGGCAAGCTCAGATCCAACTGTCTGCAGAACCAGTCGCTGCATACACAGATCACTTCGATCAGCTGAATCGGTTGCTGCACGCCCAGCCGACTTCACTCCATAGAATTCATCAGAATCCGACCCAACGGCACGCACGGCAAGCTCAGATCCAACCAACTGCCTCCAGAAGCTTCACAATCAATCCATGCACTTTGACATCAACAACAATAGTGTAAAGCTGCAATCGCTGCACGTACATACAGAGCACTTCGCTCCGCAGAATCAGTCAGTC